CTTGTCCGCAAGGGAAAAATCATTTGATAGGTGGTTCCACAGTGGAACCACTGGCACACAAAGGGTTAAGGTATTTTCGAGCCATCACTTGAAACAAATAAAAACTAACCAACTGATGCAGCTACTACTTGGATACTGAAATAAGTGAAATATTGAATAAAATGAAAACCGCATCCCCAATCGTTGAATCCTGTTAAGCAGAGATTATACATACATATAGTGTATAATCTCTGTGTTAAGACATGTTTAGTTGCATCTTGATATACGTAGACGAGAACGCCGGGCACCCGCAAAGAATGCGTTAGAACACGTGCGTGAAAAGCCGTCTCCCTCGTATTTGGTGTACAAACGTTTTGCGGGTTTTTCCGGTTCTTGCAATGAAAGGGTTAATATGCAAGGCTATTTATTTATTATTTTTTGTCTGTCTATATAATATATTCAGGTATTATATTCAATCAATTTCAGTCATCAATATTTCTATTTTTATTTATAGCTATATTTCAAACTCACTTTGTCAATGTGAACATTCTTGGAAGATAAAGTATACAGGGTGTTCCTTGAAGACATGCTTATATTTGAGGGGGTGACTAATTTCAAGAAGAAAACTCCTCATGAACGTATGTTCGGAAAGTCTTAACTTCTGAGATACAGGATTATGAACTTTTGAAAAATATTCAGTTTCTCGATAATAACTGAGACAATATTGTACAGTGTGTCCATTTAGTACGTAATTCTTCGATATCTCGGAATCCATTATCACAAGAGAAAAACTTTCGAAAACAAATTCGTTTCGATATTAGAGGTTTCTAATTCAAAAATATTTTCAACAATACTGGGTGATTTATAAAAGCGGGACGACTCGAAGATGAGTTCTCTTAAATATAACACCCAATATTTTTTATTCGAAGTTCATTCCTCTGAGGTTCAGCTCTACATCGCTGTGATAAAAATTCAATTTGGTTGCGGCGTTGCCAAGTTATAATTGATAAACCCATTTTTACTACTATTGAAGGGTCATGTTGAATTGGGTACGATTTATTCATTTATTGAAACTTTGAAAATATTTTTGGCATACAGTAGCAGCAAGGTACACCAATCCAGTAATTTTGCTAGACAATCCTTTACAGGGTACTGATACTTACATTCTGAATATTGTGAGATCAAGGCGACGTTCATTAGAATTTTTCAAATGGAACACCCTGTATTCTTCATCACGGATCCATTTCGACATCATTCGCATTTTCATCGATGAAAAAAAACATCGAAATCGGTTGCGGCGTTTTTAAGTTATGAGTAATTTCCTTATGTTTGTCACTATCCCAGTGCAACTCATGAGGCATGGTTCCTTCATTTGATTTTAGTGTGGGAATATTGCTTGCCACATGACATCCGAGGTTCTACATCTCCGATCATTCAGGTATATTTGCGATATGTGCAATGTACCTATGTGAAACAAATATGCCAAAAGCAACGCCTGCCTTAAAAACAACTTCTACAATACAAACAATGGAGATTTGGATTGCGAGAATAAAGACAATTTTTCATAATTTGGCCACTTCTATAGTCGTTATGCCCACAATCCAAATCTCCATTTAACTTGAAGGAAGTGAGCATAATGATACTAACAATTTTTTCCTACTACGCTGGTTTTTGGAAGAAATCTTGCAAAATTTTGAATAAATTCAAGATATATTTGATTGTGGCGATGTTTGACAAGTCAATACACGAGTATATCGAAAAATTAATTCATGGTCTGCAAAAAATCTGTGGAAGTAGCAATTTGGATAAATCTGTCAAAACCCACTCTGTTTTGAATTCAAACTTGGAGAGCCTGTGAATATTCCTATTATGAAAAAATATATTTCCACAATACAAATAAATGAAAGAACTATGACGTACGAATTACCCCAAAATAGTAGTAAAAATAAGAAAATTATCCATAACTTGACAACGCCGCATTCAATTCAGATTTTCTCTTCAGCGATTAAAGGATGAAAGATGTCGGAATGAATTTGTGAATAAAAATACAGGGTGTTTCATTTGAAAAATTTTAATGAATGTCATCTGAATCTTGCGAAATTCTAAATGTTAAATTGAACACTCTGTTAACCCTTAATTATAGGGATTCCCTCTCGTGCGCTCCAAGCGATAAAAAAAAAACTATTTCTGAAATGAGCAATTCAAGTAACTGAAAAAGTTTTTTCTTCAAAATTTGTCTCTATAGGATATGGCTTTGGAGATATCGAAGAATTACGCACTAAATGGACACACTGTATACATCTTCATGAAAGTTGGTAGGTACACGTTTTTTATGCATCAAGGTGCATTTTATGATGTACACAAATTTCCTCTTCCAGTGACACCGTTACGGGAATTTTATTGTTCATATTTCACTTAAAAGTGAACAACGACGGAACATAATCAAATTTCGTACAATGCTATGAAAGGCTATTCAACTATGTACAAAAAAGATTCTCTAGATGATACTCGATAGAACGCTACCACAGTATGTAACATTTTGAAATTCTCATACCGATTCAGTCGCATAGCAGAATTTTGTCATCACGAAAAGATACAGAGTGGACAAAAAACAATCGATGCATATTTTCGATATTGACACCCTGTATCTCAAAAGTTAGGACGTATACGAGATATGTTCATATGAAGTTCATTTCTTGAAATGGGTCGAATAATCGGTCCCTTGATGAATATTAGCATATCATTAAGGGATACCCTGTATATCTATCTATCTGAATAACCCCAGCTCTGATATTGTCTGTTAACCGAAAAAATACATTGTTCAAGCAATATAAACAAGATCCAAACTGTCCAGTGAAGAGGGAAACATTTATTAGATACCGTAACATAGTGAATAGATTGATCAAAACTGCTAAAATTAACTTCTACGAGAATGAAATAGAAAAAAATTAGGAAAATTCAAAAAATCTCTGGAAAGTTGTAAAATCATTTAGGAACATAGAAAGAGAAAACAAAATCAAGAAAATTATTTATGAAGAAATCAAATTGCTAACAGATGACCTACTTATTGCAAGCGCATTTAATGAATATTTTGCAAATGTAGGGGTATCATTAGCGAAATAATCAAAACACCGCGATAACTAGAAAACCTCCACAAACATCGACGCCAAACTCTTCATTTTTACTCCCTCTGAGTGAAAACGAGATCGAAGAAATCTTAAAGAATCTGAAAGTAAAAAAAGTACCGGGCTTTGATGACATAAGAAGCGAACAATTAAAAAATATATCGAACGAAATATCACCATTATTGTACCACCTCGTGAATTGTGTCTTTGAAACTGGAGTATTTCCGAATGACTGTAAGATTGCTGTTGTTGTACCCATTCACAAAAAAGGCGATAGAAAATATAAAGCATATATATAGACCTATATCGCTCATATCAGCATTCGCAAAAATAATTGAGAAGGCCATAAAACTCAGATTATCGCACTTTGTGAAAAAATATAATATAATTTCTGAAAAACAATTTGGATTTAAAGAAGGAACATCCACCAACGATGCAATATCATCATTAACTAGCGAAATATATAATTCAATCGACGAAAAACAGCCAACATTATGCGTCTTCCTGGATCTCGCCAAGGCTTTCGATACTGTGGATCATCTGCAGTTGTTGGAGGCTTTGGAGAATTGGTAGAACTCTCTCACTTTTCGAAAGCTATTTGAATGCTATAGGACACAAATAGTAAGAATCGGAAATGCACTCAGCACTGAAAAGAAAGTGACTTGTGGAATACCACAAGGCACGGTATTAGGGCCACTATTGTTTTCAATATATGTCAACAACCTTGTGACTTTAAACATCAAAGGGAAAATATATAGTTTCGTAGACGATACTGCGATTCTATATACAACGCCGACTTGGTCAGATCTGGAATTGAAGACGGAAAGTGATTTGGAGCGAATTATCGATTGGTTCAATCACAAAGAATTAACAGTAAATTTTGAGAAAACAATTTTTTTACCTTTTGCAAGTTATAAATCCTCACTGCCAAACTTCCACACTCTGGATATCCAAAGCCAGAATGAAATTATCAAAAGAAAGAGAGCAAATAGTGTTAAATATCTTGGAGTTACCATAGACCCAAATCCCAAATGGGATAAGATATTAGTAATGTAACTAATACATTGAGAACAATATTGTTCAAATTCAAACAGTTATATAAACTCATAAATATTAGATATTTGAGAGTTGTATATTTTGGTCTCATCGAATCCCGTTTACAGTACGCAATACTTAGCTGGGGCGGCACATATTATACACATATGCAGGAACTAGATATACTACAGAAGAAAATTCTGAAAGTGATGCTTGGAAAACCAATGACCTACTCCTCAAAATGTACATTCACTGATGAAAAAATAATGAATTTGAGAAAATTATACATCTTCAGTATGATCATTTATTTGTATAAAAACAAATATACATTACAAAGAATCAATCATCCCTATCTAACTAGAACAAAATCGAAACACTATGTGACAACAAATGCAGCCGAAAAGTCCATAGGTCAGCAAAATTTTCAATACTTTGCTAATAGGATTTTCAACTATTTACCAGAAACTTATAAAATGTATATTCTTGAAATCAATTCAATCGAATATATCAAGAAAAAATTCAAAGTATACTTACTGGAGCTAGACATTTACATTGTAGCTAGTATCATAGAAATGTAGGAACGTACATAATATATAATTATGGCTCAGGGCATATGCTATTAGACTCTTTTTTTCCATACATCCCATGACAACCTGCTGAGGTTTTATGGGTTTGGTTGTTTATTAAATACAATATAGATCAAAATGATCGAAATTACTACTTATACTACTCATATACTTTGTCATTTGTTATTTTTTTCATCTTACTTTTATATTAGGAATTTTTGTATTAATAAACATATATTATTATCTATCTATCTAACAATAAACAGGTTAGATTAATACGTTTTCCTTGGCAAAGGTACAAAAAAGCGACCGCAAGTCTCTGGCATCCTGAAGGACCGCCTGAATCTGGAATATGTGGCAAGCAGGGATGCGAACAGCGTTCACAGGGCGTTGCACATTCTCAAAGCCTTGCCGGATCTTTCGGGGGATTACACCTGCTCGGTTTCCACGATGCAGAGCGAGGACATCGAAACTAAGACCATGGTCGTGCTAGGTGAGTGATCCTTCTCAAATGAACTAGTATTTATTTATGTACTTATTTATTCATTCAATTTATTCATTCCAATAAGGTTATTAATACATGACATAAGAATGAGTAAAAAAAACTAAACTAGAAGGAACGAAAAGCAATTACAATTACAATTTGCACACTTGATATTTATATAATGTGAACAGCATAACACATACTTCGTATATACATAACAGTAATTTTTACATGTATGTGTAGGTACACTTATTATTTCAAAAATTGGTATCGAAATATTCGTCCAATGAGTATAGCGAGTGCTGAAGTAGTAATCTTTTAGTTTCAATTTTGAAAGCTTTTACATCAGGTACATATCTCAGAACCTTAGGTAAGTGATTATATAGTCTAATCAGCGACTTGTCTCTCATACTGTAACTGACAATATCACCAGATGCATTGTATTTAGAAATATACTTTTTAACACAAGTTACACATTCGAAAATGTAAAATGGAATGACCGTTAGAATGCCAAGATCCTTAAATTAGTTTTTGCAAGAGGACCTTCGTTCTTTGAACGTCATTGTTCTCAATATTTTTTCCTGTCTGTAAAATTGAGAGAGATCCATTTTTTTTTAGTTTCTCCAAATGGTTATAGCATATGACAATGTAGAATCAACATATGAGTGATAATAGATCATCAGAATATTTCTATCTACAAAACCCCTCAGTAAAACAAAACAATGAGATGACATCTTTTTGGCCATATATTGGATGTGACTATACCAGTTTACCTGTGAGTCCATATTCAACCCAAGAAATTTAACAACATTTGATTGCCGAAGAGAAGAGTTATCAGGTCTCACTTGTAGACTGTAATCAAGAGTAGAAGCAGAAAACTGCAAAAAATCAGTTTTCAGGGCATTCATTACGAGGTGATTTTTGAAACTATATTCTTTAGAAGATCTTACACAAACAGTAGAAGCCAGACTAAGGTTGCTTATAAAAGTACCAGATACAGCTACTGAGAGGTCATCAGCGAATATAGTAGATTTGAAATTATTCAAAATTATTTAAGCTATTAGGTAAGTCGTTAACGAAGATAATGAATAGTAGGGGTCTCAGGATGCTTCCCTTTGGGACTCCTGTTGTATACATTTATTCGATGAGTAGAAGTTTGTATCTTCAATCCTCATTTGCACCTTCCGGCTCCTGTTTGATAAATAGGATTCCAACCAGTTATAGGGCTGTCCTCTGATTCCATAGAAATCCACGCTCTACAGAAATCGAAGAACAACCCCGTAACCAGTTGTTTCTTGTCCAGTTTCATGTACACCGTGTTCAGAAAGTGAACAATTGCGTCCTCTGTATTCATCTCTCTTCGAAAGACAAATTGAAAGTCAGAGATTATTCTGAATGACGTCAAAAAATTAACTAGGCGAATATGGGAGAGTTTTTCATAGATCTTGGAGAATACTGGTAAAATTGAGATAGGTCTGTAGTTGGACATTGAAAGAGCGTCCGTCGCACGACCGCAAGGTCGTGGGTTCGATTACCAGCACGGACAAGGAACTTCATTCAATATTCAATTCACGAATTAAATATTGTACAGTATCGGAGCATCGGCTGGGGATAGTCCTGCACGATTCGCTGTTGCGTTCCAATCAACAGTGCTACTTCTAAAGTGGCGCATGGAGTTAGTAACAAAGCCTACACAGAACACGCAGAAGGAGATGATTATGTGGTTGTGAGCATCAGAGGAGAAGTAGGACGGTGTATGTAAGTGGGTGTGGGAAGCTACTAGCTGAGCGCGAGAGCGGGCCAGCTGCTTAGTGGACCTCGGTCTCTAACGGGGGTTGACGAGGATAGCTAGCAGGCATGTCACTGCAGCATATGGTAGTGAGTACATTACTAGCCTACAAAACACAGCCGGAAAACTCTGAAAGAAAGCTGATGGGCGGTGCCTGAAAAGGGTGTTAGCCAGCTCTCTTAAGCGAACCACATCAGTTATTGGAAAACACCTTTGGGGCTTGCAGAAAGGTCCCATTAGGGACTATTTGCTGACTTGTAAACGTCCCCCACCAGTGCCAGTACCAATAGACATTTCTAATAAACTGTTTTTTTTGTGTATAGGTACTACAAGTGCCATTTTTAATTTGGATGGAAATACCCCTTCCCTATTATTATGAGTCATGGAAACAAGAGTTCCTAAATGTACTTGACAGCTGTTTCGACGTTTTTTTTTAAATTAGAGTACGGACACTAGACAAGTAGTGACAATCAAACATAACCACAAACGATTTTGAAGCAAATCATATATTTTGCCAGACAAGGACAAGAATATGTTTTTCGCTTGGATAAAGGATCCTCGCATCTTCCTTCCTCCACAATTCCTGGGAAGAGTACATCCATATATCATTCTCTGTCTTTGTTTTGTGTGAGAGTGCATAGCGTCTCCTCGAGTGGGTGAAAGGGTACGATAAATTGATTAGAACATTATGTCTTCTCGCAATATTGAATGATAAGGCTGAAGGACCTGGTTATAGTTTCGAATTTTGCTATCTCTGACTTTTGTATCTGAATCTTTTTGCTTCAACTCATTCCCCAACTCTCTATTTATTTCTTCAATCTGTTTCCTGAATTCCTCACTCTCTTCCACTCGTAAACCTTCGATATAATATTACTGCTCTAAAAATTCGATTCCAAGTCTTTTTCTTTCAAAATATGTTCAAAATAAATTTCATTATCTGCAAGTTTTTCGTTTCTTGTTGGTTCCAAATTAGAATAAGGTTCTTTTTGATACTCTCTCAGTTTATAAAATGTGGGTTAGGCTTTCTCTCCATATGATCCTTTTCTTCAACATCAAATCTTCCGCTCTAAAGTGTACATGATAAAAATGCGTTGAAAAATGTTCTATATCCTAGCAAGAAATTTAAATACCTCGCAAATTTTGTGACCTGAACCTATATTCCATTCCGGTCGCATCATTTCTGTAGAATTACGTTATCCGATGGAAATTCGAATGAAGATGGAATTGATTTTCTGTGTTCCCACAGTTGGAAACTGCACAAACTTGCATCTGTCTTCTAATTCTCTCAAGTTGTCAAACCTTTGAAATTTATGTCATGTTCGTCCGTGTACTGTCTTTTTTCATCAATTCATTTGTGGTTATGTCTGATTGTCAGTGCTTGTCATAGTGTTTTGACTTTTTTTTGTATATCAGAGTACATATACAAAAAAAAGTCAAAACAGCATCAGTGTCAAATACATTTAGGAACTATAATGGAAACCATCTATCCTTCTCAAAGTGGTCCAGATTTTTTCAGAGAAGAAACAAAATAACACCAAGTCGGTCTGTGACTTGTTTCGGCTCAAACAGCCATCTTCAGACACAATACACAGTATACCTGTGAAGATATTCAGTTAACAAGAATGATAAGATATTGATGAACAAACATTCCTATAAGGCCACGTGGGAATCACATGAAATAAAATTGAAAATTAGAGAGCCGTGGTCATTTTGCCAAATATCAGTCCGTTAAAGGAATGTTGAAATTTTTTAACCGACTGAACAGCCAAAAGAACCCAATTATCATTAGGTTCAACATTGGTACAAACTTGGGAAAAATTATTAATTGATTCACTCAAAGGAGTTTCTTCTTCGAATGGTCATTTTTGTGAAAGACAAAAACCGAGGAGAAGGAGAAGTGCGTCAAGCATAGCAAAAGACGTTGACAGAATACAAGACAAATGACAGTGACAAATGATATAAACCGAATGACATGGTGTAGGACTAATTTTTGGAACATTATGAGTTATAATACTATTACAAATAATTTCTGAAAATTGAAGTAATAAAGTCCAGTATGCCTAAAAAACTAAAGGAGAAGTACGTGGTGAGGTTGAATAAGATGAATGATCCAAGCAAAAAAAGAAGAAACGTCAAGGTGTAGCGAATATAATCAAAAACAGAAGAAGAAGATCTCAGGAAGGTGAACAAAACAGGGCCGGCCCAAGTAAAAGCAAGCAAGACGAAATTGATAATGCGAATTCACGTGTGCGAAAAATGTGGTTTCGTTCAAAATTTTGTCATTGAGACAGTTGATATTTGGGTTATTGATACATTTTTGAATTTATAAATTTTCCAGGAAGTTTAGCCGTGGACCTTTAGTGCAAATGTGGAAAATCTCCATATTGGAGTTAACATCAAAAGAATGACTGGGATCGATAATATGATTTGCAAAGGAAGATGTAAGGGTATCTGAGTTGAGAAATTTGTGGATGATCTTGTCTTTATTATTAACCAGTAGTTGTTTGGTACTGAAGAAAGTTTTATAGGATAGGTATGTAAATCCAAGAAGAAAAAAAACTAGGGGCTCAAAGTCGGTCGACCACACTTCATATAATAGTAGTATATTATTTTACATATGTAACCGGTTTCGGCGCTACGGCCATCATCAGACAAATAATAAGTACCTAAAAGTTTAAAAAACGAAGACAATCAACTTTTAGGTACTTATTATTTGTCTGATGATGGCCGTAGCGCCGAAACCGGTTACATATGTAAAATAATATACTACTATTATATGAAGTGTGGTCGACCGACTTTGAGCCCCTAGTTTTTTTCTTCTTGAAAATACTGTGGACCACTTTGAGAAAATGGATGATTTTCATGATTAGGTATGTAAATATTGAAATTTTTTTTTAAATTTTACTCCTTTGAGTGAATCAATTAATAATTTTTCCCAAGTTTGTGCCAATGTTGAACCTAATGATAGTTGGGTTCTTTTGGCTGTTCAGTCGATTCAAAAATTTTAACAATCCTTTACCGGACTGATTTTTGGTGAAATGACCACGGCTCTTTGATTTTTAATTTTATTTCATGTGATTTCTACTTGGCCTTATAGGTATGTTTGTTTCTCAGCATCTTATTATCCTTGTAAGCTGAATATCCTCACAGCTACTGTGTATTGTGTCTGAAGATGGCTCTTTGAGCCGACACTAGACAAAAAAATTCAATTTTTGTAATA